AATACAAATGATTAAAACAAAACATATCGTTAGGACTTATTATATCACACTAACATTATTTATGATTTTATTATCATTGAATACATTTAATTTAGAAAGAGAGATATTTATTTTTCATTAGAATTTTGTTTTAATTTTTTATTTTTTCATTTCATTTATAATAATACTTTCAATGAATATATATATACTCGGAGGTGACTTTCGACAAACCCTTCCGGTTTTACCCAGAGGTGCTACGATCAATTCCTCACATTTGTGGTCGAAGTGTAAAGTTTTTACGTTGACCAACAATATGAGCCTGCATTCATCCACGTCTTCTTGCACAGATAGGGACACAAACTTTTTTTGATTGGATAATCAAAAGTGAAATTTGCACTAAATAGGACTAAAACATAATGACTTTCTTAATGTAGGATTTAAACTTTTTTTATTCCCTAAATAGGACTTAATAATGACCTTGTGGGAGGAATAATGTCCAGTAATGATGGACATTTACTTGAATAATAACTACTTGATAATGACCAAAAGTCTTACATTGAGAAATAAAAACATATAGTCCTATATTAGGAAAGTCATTATGTTTTAGTCCTATTTAGGTAAATTACTCTAATCAAAATGGGTGATGGAAAGCTAGGTTAGGTGATGGATGAGATTGGTGATGTTGAGATTCCGCTTGAATTCTTAATTCTTGATACAAGTTCTCCTATGGAGAGTATAGTGGACTTCACTTATCTGAATATATTAGAGAATATGAAAAATTATTCTTTTTTTTGAGTATAGAGCAATATTGGCACCAACTCTCGAAATAGTTGAAATGATAAATGAATTTGTTCTGTCCCTCATTCCTGGTGATGAGAAGGAGTACTTGGGTTCTGATTCTTCGTGCCAAGCAGAAGCAGATGTAGGTGTTGATGGCGATTGAATAACAGTTGAGTTTTTGAACAAAATCAAATGTTCGGGATTCCCAAACCACAAAATAGTCTTGAAAACAGGGGAACCGATTATGCTATTGAGAAACATTAACCAAACATCTGGATTGTGTGATGAGACAAAATTAATCGTTCAAGAGTTGCGAAATAATTTTGCCGGTGCAATTGTGGTTTCAGAAAATCGAGTCGCGGAAAAAGTTTACATCCATAGAATGAATTTGGTACCATCTGATCCAGGGCTACCCTTGAAGTTCCAAAGAAAACAATTCTCGACCGCCTTATGTTTTGCTATGACTATCAACAAAAGTCAAGGTCAAACATTGTCAATTGTGGGATTAGTTTTAACCAAGTCAGTGTTCACACATGGTCAACTATATGTTGCTGTTTCACGAGTGAAGACGAAGACAAGATTAAAAATATTAGTTCTAGATGACAATGGCCCTTGCAACCATACCAAAAATGTTGTATACCCTGAAGTCTTTCAGAAAATTTGGTATTAAAATAAACATTGTTAACTCTACATTCTATTCCTAAAATATTATTTATTTTACTTTGGCCTTTTTCATTTGTAGTATTAAAAATCATGTGAGCAATATATTTTTCTTTATTCCGAAAAAAAAAATCATTTAAATAATTCAGAATCGACATAAATTTCTTTCGACCCCGTGCATGGCACGGGTCAGAATACTAGTCAATAGGAAATGAAAGAGTTTCACGGGAATTGTTTTGATCGCCGGATATCATTGTGAAAGAAATAGGAAGAAGTGTTATCGAACGATTCCCTACAATTTTTCCCCATATGAAATGAGTAAAGAATCAAGCTACAAGTCTCGATGGTTCGGTTTCATTGATTCAATTAAAATTTCATTTTAGGTCGTGCACCGTGCTCCTTGTCATCTAGAGTTCAATACTTGTTCACTTGTTCGAGTCACTTCGTACCTGTTCGAGTGATTTCACTATGTTCAACTCATTCAGATATAGAGAAATTTTCGATATCTTAAATAAATGTGCTTGGAGATCGATATTTTTTAAATTTGAATGATCAAAGAACCTCATTCAGAAGGATTGTGATTTCTTAAGATATCAAAATTTCTGTTTGGACTTCACTAAATTAAACAATGCATATGAGAATTATCAAAACTCATATGGGGATGAGAACTTGTTATAACCATTATAGTCATATTTCTTAGTGTGGATATGAAAATTAAAAGACTGATAAGAAATTTGTGGAAGCACAAATGAAGTATAATTTAGTGAATTTCTAGCATTACACCAAATGTAAAGCCTTCTAATTTGTAGTGCCTCATGACACCTCTCTTCATGATCCCAATCGGCACACCGCACCATCTTCCCGTTAGAGCAAGCGTGAGATAGGGCGTGGCCACGAGCCCATGACCACGGATGTGTTGCCATTATACATAACTTATTATACATAAGTCATTCAATGACAAATACTTTGTTTTTGGAAACCTCTTTCATTTGTGTTTTTTATGCTAGAATAAAGTAAAATTAAAAAATAATGGGAACATGGTCTTATACGCAGTATACTGCCATGGTAGGGAGGGGGTGGGAGGGGGGGCTGGGGTGGGGGGTTTAGGGGGAGGGTAGGAACCGTTATTTTCATAAACGGGGCACCGTAAGTACTTCAAACAAACTGGTGTATGCAATTGACACCAATAACACTAGTGTCATTTTAGACTTACTCTATTGTATAACTTGAAATACATTTCTTAGTTTAAATCTAACATTTTTGCTTTATCTTTTCAATTTCCCCCCTTTTGTTCTTTTGCTTTTCAATAGACACTCCGACAATTGCGCATCGACCATTAAGGAAACATGTGCAGCCTCTCATAGTGTCATGTGTCACATTATTCAGTTATTACATGCATATAGCACTATTAACTTTTCAATAATAATCTAAGTCCATAAATGATTAACCCATTCCATTATTTAAAATTATAGTAATCTTGTTATTTGTATATTTTCATGGACTATTTGATAAAATAAAATACGGAGTATTTGTATATCTATTGTCTTGTGGATTCTTTTTTGTACTTTCTAAATCTACAAATTTTATTTTTTATTTATATATCAATATTTAAATAGAATAATTTAAAAAAACTTGAGTCTTTACTTTATTTTGCGTAAAGTGTAATTATTTAGGGACGGATGAAATACTACGGAGTACTTTATATACTACTCATATACTCCCTCCGTCCCACTCTCTTTGTCCACTTACCTTTTGGCACATCATCCAATGCATTTCTTTAATCCATTTTATCTTGTAATTTGTATATTAAAAAATTATAGAAATTATATATTAATAATCTATATGTTAAGACAAATCAAACAAGATCACACATGACTATATTTAGGCTTACACATTGAGAGAATTTGATGAGTCAAAGTGCTTAGATGAACAGTTCCAAAAGTCAAAAGTGGACAAAGAGAGTGGGACGGAAGTAGTACTATTTATACCCCACTGCGTTAAAGTTTTATACTCCGTATTATTGTACTTATATTTTGAATCAGTAAAATTTCTTGATGTGAAAATATTGTACAAGTATGGTGTACGAATAACATGTTTTTTGATTCTTACATAAAAATAAATTAAACAAGAGTAAATAACACCTCTTGCCCTCTAAAAGAAAATGGAAGGAATTGGAAGAAACGGGAAGAAAATGGAAGGAACTGAAATAAATTCGAAGGAACTAGAATAAACTGGAAAAATTTCAAAAAAATTAAAAAACCTAAAAAAAAATTAAAAAATTATTTTAGTGTATTTTTATATTACTCTCATTCTAATTCTTGTTGTTAATAATAATAATAACAATAATAATAATAATCATCATCATCATCATCACGTTATCTTAATGAATGCTTTTAAGAGTATAAAAATATTATTATTTTTCATACACAAAATTACTTTTGCAAAATCTAATTATAACATAAAGTTAGCATAAATATCAAAATAGTAAATTTTAAAAAATTATTATGGTTACGTTGCACCTCAATTTATTTATGCAGTATTTATTATAAACAATATATTTATAAGAGTAAATTCCATAATTAGTCCTTTATAACAGGAAGGTTTCCATATATGGTTCTCTATTATCAAATATTACCCCCGTAGTCCTTTTTTTAAGGGTACCTTTCCACAAATGGTCCTTTTTTTGATCTTCTACCGTGTTGGTGTTAATTTAAAGGCTAAAAGTATAATTTGACGTAAACTTTATGTCTAGTGACGTGTTCTGATATTGGTTAAGCGGATAACACAAAAATAATGACTATGATTGTGGGCTTGGATTCTGACGAAAGATCACATTTGTAGACTATAGTTGTCGTAAAAAGCAACTGTAATTCACAAACGACGCAAACGGAACAACCTTTGGAATTGTGTATGACAAAAAAGATATATTATCATTGTGAAATTACACTTTTAGCCCTCAAGTTAACACCAACATGATAGAAGATCAAAAAAAGGACTATTTGTGGAAAGATACATATAAAAGAAGGACCATTTGTGTAATATTTGATAATAGAGAACTAAATAGGGAAACCCCTCTGTTATAATGGACTAATTATAGAATTTACTCTATTTATAATTATAATTTACACCCCGGAGTATATTACAATATTTTATTATAAATATCATACATGTCACGTAATATTATCAAACCTATTTTTTTCATAATTGACATTTTATTTTCATTGTAACTCTTATTTTTGGGGTAAAGACAGATTTTTTTTACATTTTTTACATTTTAAACCTATTTTAGTCTTTTTTGTCTAAACTATTTTGGCCTTCAAGTCTTTTTCGCACCACCATTATGATACTTTTGGTCAAATAATTTTTCCAATTACACTAACATATAACACAACCTACTTTAATTAGCCTACATAATTAGCTGGTCAAACCAGCTAAATTAAATAGCTATTTAGAATAGCTTATACAAACACTCAACAGCCAATAACCAATACCAAAACTAGGCTATCCATTTTACCAGATTTGGTTAGAGTAATTTGTCTAAAACCCTCATTATTTAATAAAACCTATAATTTTCAAATGGTACCACTAACTAACAAGACTTTTAAAAACAAGAAATATACTCCCTCCGTTCCATATTTATAATCAAATTGGGATTTACGAGGAGAAATATATGATTTTTTGAAATTATTTTATTTACAAATCGGTATATCGATAGAAAATAAAAATTACATATTAAAAGGCTACGTCAAAAGTTTTACAAAATAAAATGTGATAAGAGTATTTTATTTTATCAAATACTTAATAAAATTACGTAAACAAACAAAATTTATCGAGAGGAAAGAGAAAAAAATTGTAATCAAATTGAAAACGGAGGGAATATGAAATAAAAATAAAAACATAATAAACTCTTTATACGTCAAAAAAATACAGTACAGCAAAGAAATAAAAAAAGAGAAGAGGAGCCGCGTTTGGACCACCGGCGAGAATCCAAATCCAAATTCATGGAACCAAAAGAGTTATGGTCAACCTCTCTTGACTTCTTTTTCATTTCAAGAATAGGAGACTAGAGACGGATTTTAGGGTGAAAAGAACAGATTTTTTTTTCTTTTCAAAGCTTTGTTAAATTAAAGAATAATTACTAACAGCAGAGGCCGGAGAGGAATTTTAGGGATAAAAAAACAAGTAATTGGCGTGATTGATTGCAATAGTCAAAGGAAATGGAAAAGAATCACAGTTGGAATGGGACTGTACTTACTGCTGCCAGACCATCCTTCGCTTTCTCCCCCCATTTCCTCTCTTCTGCGTTTAATAAATTCAAGAATGTATTAATAAATACAGATCTTCCTTATCTTTTTTATTTATTGTGTATATGCCCACAATCCGTATTTATATATGTATAAAGTTATTATACGTACACATATGATGCCGACGAGGAGGAGGGGGGACATATTCAAGGCTTTCACGAGCGAGCTTTCAAAGTGATTTGGCCTCTCCCTCTCTCTCTCTCTCTCTCATCTCTCTCTATCTCTATCTCTCTAAGACTGCGTCGGTGAAGCTAATCCCTTAACCAGAGAGAGTAATTTGATGGATATGTTGCATTTCAAGAATCTTTGAGCTTTGGGTTTACCAACTCTCTTGACTTACTCACTCTTTAAGGGGTACTACTCATAACTAACCCTTTTTCTCCCATTTTCTTTAGCTGTTGCTGTTTCTGTTTCTTTATGGGTTTTCCCTTCATGGCTGCTTCTGGAATGGTAAAAAAAGGGTTTTTGATTTCTGGGTCATCTCTGGGATTTTTGCCCAACTCAATTTTACTGGGATCAATCCAATATCCACAATCATTCAATCCCTGTTTGAATTATTTGAATGTCTAAAGTGTCCGACTTTTTTTCTCTGGGTGTGTAATTGATGAATCTGTCTGGTTAATCTCATTTATCATTAATCTGTTTCCATTATTGCTGCTCTAGTGTTCAACATGTTATTGCAATGAACTGTTATTATTTCCTTATTTCCTAGTGAGTTTTTGGTTTGTGGATCTAGTTCTAAGTCTGCTGATTGGACCATTTATTCAGTTTGGGGGGATTTATTCAGTTTTGAGATTTTTTTTCTTCTTCTGGGGATCTTCAGGTCACAAACATGGCTAGGCCACTGCATAGAGGTTCATCACTTGGAGGTGGAGGGCGAAGCCCAGGTAACAGTTTGGGCTTTTCGGATGATGCCCAGATGAAGGTTAAGCAGGAGAAAGAATATTTTGATCACAGTCAATCAGCTACTGATCAAACTTACCCTTCTGTGAAATTTATTTACCGGATTCTTTCCCTCGACAAATTGCCCACAAAGAACAGTCCAAGTGAAAATGGATTCTTATCTGATCCTTTCAGCCCTGGAACAGGACGGAACCGGGTTAAATTCACATTGTTTTTGCTCAAGTTAAGCTTATTTGCCATAGTCGCGCTTGCTCTTACTGTGTCCTTTTCGTGGACAATCTCCATGACAAAGTTGCCCAGAGGTCGGATATATCAGGGAGGGTATCGGAGGCTTCAAGAGCAAGTAGTGTTGGACTTGAAGGACATTGGACACTTATCTCTTGGTTCTTCAAAGCTAAAGGATCTAGAGTATTGTCCACCAGAGACTGAGAACTATGTTCCATGCTTCAACATGTCTGAATCTATTGAATCAGAGTTTTCCAAAGGTGAAGGATTTGATCGGAGTTGCGAACCTGGGTCCAGAGAGAGCTGCTTGGTTCTTCCACCTGTCAATTACAAGATCCCTTTGAGGTGGCCTACAGGAAAGGATGTTATTTGGCTTGCAAATGTCAAAATCACAGCTCAGGAAGTGCTTTCTTCAGGGAGTATGACGAAGAGGTTTGTGAAAGTGTTTGTCATATAAGACATTTTAATACTCGAGGTTCATTTGGCTTCACTTCTGTTTTTGGCAGATTCTGTTCTCAGATTCAATTGTTTCATAATTAGCTTTTAGTTTTGGAGAATCAAGGAGTTGATTACTTCTGAAAATCTGATTCTAGAAGCAGATTCAGCAATTGATTCTTTTTAGAGTCTAAAATAAATGCAACAATGGCTGATTTTGTGATGAGAATTTGCAGAATCTGCAGAATCATCTTTCAGAATCAAAGCCAAATGGCTCCTCAAGCAATTGTTATCCTCTGATGTGTTTTTAATTGTAGGATGATGATGTTAGAGGAAGAGAAGATCTCATTTCGGTCAGAATCTGCAATGTTTGACAGTATTGAGGACTACTCGCATCAAATTGCCGGAATGATTGGGCTAAGGAATGAATCCAACTTTATACAAGCTGGAGTGAGTATACAATGTTCATTTTCATTATTCGCGTCTTTCTGTCTAGTTCCCCATTTACTATTTCTTGTTTGGGGCCTTGTTTGGCAAATTGCTGTGAGTGTTAAGCTTTTTTGACCAGATTATTGCATTATAAAAAAGACTTAGTTCTTTGGTAGGAAATTATTGCAACTATTTACAAGTTCTTTCAAACATTTGGGGACAAATCTGTTTGTAACAGAGCATTTTCGACCCAATAAGTTGTTCACCAAACAAAAAAGTAGCTTTTTCATGGGCAAACATCTTACTGTGCCATTTTAAGGTATAGGCTCTCCCAAAAGCAGTTTGCCAAACATGCCTTTAGCAGAAAGAGATATATAATACTAGTCCCATTGTCGGTATGTTTTGGTGCAGACATGACATGCAGTAACAAGAAACTTAATAATAAGATTATGTATCTAACATTTTCAGGTTAGAGTTATCTTGGATATAGGGTGCGGTTTCGGTAGTTTTGGGGCCCATCTTTTCTCTAGCAACCTATTGACAATGTGCATCGCAAACTATGAGGCTTCTGGCAGTCAAGTTCAACTGACACTTGAAAGAGGCCTTCCGGCAATGATCGCCTCATTCACTTCAAATCAGTTGCCTTACCCATCTCTTTCATTTGATATGATACACTGTGCTGAATGTCAAATTGACTGGGATCAAAGAGGTACCACTGACACTCTAAATTCTTTTACGGCATGTTTGGGTCCCAGAAAATGCAAGGAAAACAACAAAAAACATTGATATAATGAAAAAAAACTTGTTTTGTTCAAATAGGACTCTCATATGTTTGGACCAAAACAAGCTCTCAAATAGGCCATTGCTTTTTTTGTGCTAATAACATTATCATTTACACTACTTGCCTCAGATGGTGTACTATTGGTGGAAGTGGACCGGATACTCAGACCCGGCGGATACTTTGTGTGGACATCATCGGTCATGAGTGCCCAACGGTCCCTTCGCAACAAAGAAAACCAAAAGAAGTGGAACACTGTCAGTGGGTTTGCAGAAAACCTCTGTTGGGTGTTGGTGTCACAGCAAGAAAAGACTGCTGTTTGGAAGAAAACCAGCGAAAAGAAATGTTACCCCGCCAGGTAAATGTATCTTCTGATTCTTGAGTTTACCAAACAGGCCTTAAATGTATCTTCTGATTTTGCGACTGTGGTTTGACTTTCCAGGAAATCGGGTTCTGCTCCTCCCCTCTGCAATAAAGGCCACGATATTGAGTCTCCTTATTATCGACCACTTGAGCCATGTGTTGGAGGAACACAAAGCCGCAGATGGATTCCAATTGAAAAAAGGAGTAAATGGCCTTCTAGGGCCACTTTAACTGCAACTGAACTTAAAATTTATGGTAATGAGTAATGACCCACCTTTGTTTATGATGATGAAAACTTTGAATGAGTATCATATACTGAAATGGATGGGTTCTCACATCAGGTTTACAGTCAGAGGAGCTTGCTGAGGATTCCATTAATTGGAGCTCTGCAGTTAACAATTACTGGTCATTGCTATCGCCATTGATATTCTCCGATCATCCCAAGAGACCTGGAGATGAGGACCCTACTCCCCCTTACAACATGCTTAGAAATGTGTTAGACATGAACGCCGGTTTTGGAGGGTTCAATGCTGCTCTACTGGAAGCCGGGAAGTCAGTGTGGGTCATGAATGTGGTCCCCACAAGCGCTCCCAATCACCTCCCCTTGATCATCGACAGGGGCTTTCTCGGCGTTCTACATGATTGGTATGTCATTATATCCTCCCCCCCTACTATGTTCATATAGGCTTTTTGACATATCTCGTGTGTCTATTATATATTGTATTCAAAAACTTGTCTTTCAGGTGTGAAGCATTTCCAACATATCCAAGAAGTTACGATCTTGTTCACGCCGATGGTCTTCTCACACTTGGGTTTGGTCAAAACAGCAACAACAGATGTGGGATGCTAGATCTCTTCATTGAAATTGACCGTATACTTCGTCCAGAGGTAGGTTTTTTCCCCTTGGGATTCTTCTGGGTTTCCCCATATTTTACTTCTGAATGGTAGAGATGAAGTTATAAAACATTGGGTTAATGTCCCCCCCCCCCTTTTTTTAACCATGGTGTAGGGTTGGGTTATCTTAAGAGACACAATTCCTCTGATTGAGTTAGCGAGAGATCACGCAGCACGGTTGAAATGGGATGCCCGAGTCATAGAGATCGAAAGGAACAGCGAGGAGAAACTCCTTGTTTGCCAAAAGCCTTTTACAAGAAGACTGGCAAGCTAAAGTAGGAGGAGAAATCTTTGTAGTAGAATGGTTAGTTTGTCCATGTCCATATTTATATATATTTATTTTTTTTCACATTTAAAGATAAATCGCGATAAAGTTCCACTAAAAAATGGTGGGACCCAAAGATGGAAGAGCAGAAAGATGTGAGGAAAGGAGTGGGGACGAAACGAAGGGGTCGGTTCCTGCTTAGGACCCGAACGACACCGATGACTCCTATGAAGCCGCAAGGCGTTCATAGGGGCACTACTGTAATTACACTTGTGTCACCAGATCAGGCCAGTCAAGAAAGTTTTTTTTCTCAGTTATAAAACTTTATATATGTTGTTAGATTGTGAAGATGTTAAAGAATAAACAAGAAGAATGATTCTTGCCCTAGCTTATTGTGCTTTCTTTTGCTTCTTTTTCAAAAAAGGTGGAATTCACTTTGATGCAAACTACGGAGTATATACGTAGTAGCTTACTTAGCAGGTGTGAATTAATTAGACACCATACTAGTAGTAAATGTGAACGTAATGTATGTTCATATTCGTTGAATTTTAATTAGACACCATACTAATAATGGCTGAAATGACACTTCTCTCCATATTTGTCTATACTCCCAAATGAATCAACCTACACAAAATGACAGAGATAGGACATTAGACTAGTTAAATAGACATTTAAAGAGTTATTTTTGAGTTTACTTATCAATAATAGTTTTTGACGCTAATTAAGAAAACTTTTGTTCTTTTTAAATGAAATGAATATTTTAATTTATCATACACCAAAAACAAAATGCAAATTTTTTAATAAAAATGGAGGTGGTATTTATTAAGGAGTGTTTAAAAATTTGTACTCTTTCCGTCCGGATTTTAAGTTCCCAGTCTACGCTTTTTTCCGTCCGGAAATAAAGTTCCCAGTCTACGTTTTCATACTCAATCTTCCTAAATTACCCCTCCCTCATCCGTTCTCGTCATTCTCGGCCTGCCATCCCACACAGCACCACACAGGTATTTTCTCTCTCTTCCCTCCCCCTTTCCTCTTCCTTTCCCGTCTCCTTTCTCTGTCTTCCTCTTCCTTCCTCCTCCTTCTTCCCCTCTTTCTCTCTCTCTCTTCCTTTTCTTTCCATTCTTTTCTTGCTAGATCTAGCCTTCATCTCCCCCTCTCTCTTCCCATCTTCTTTTTCTTCTTTTTGTCATTTTCTTCTTCTATTAGAGTTCGATCTCGTTTTTTTTCAGATCTAAAAATTTAGAGATCCATTTGTGCGGGGTTGCCGGCGATGGTATCGGCGGTGGCGATGGTGGCGAGTGGAGCTGACGGCGGTGGCGATTTGCACCTCCAGATCTGTTTCCTCGGAAAGCTCCGGCGGCAGTTNTGGGCAACGGTTGGGACGGTGGTGGGGGTTAGGCGACGGTTGGGCAGTGGTGGGGGTTGGGCGACGGTTGGGGCGGTGGGGATAGGGATTGGGGTGGTTGTGGTGTTGAGGGTTGCAGAGATATTTTGGTGTGGGGGCAGGGGTATTTTGGACAATGTAACCCATTAGTCAACTTCCACTAAAAATGAGCAAAAGTCAAACCGGGAACTTAAAATCCGGACGGAGGGAGTATTTCTTTAGAGTTTTTTTGTGTGTCCATTTGACTCCCAACTCTTCAACAACTATGCGGATTCCCTCGAAACTTTAAAATTTACACCAATAACACCTGAACTATTACATATGTGTTTCGTCAAAAGTTTTTTTATGTCAGATTTGGATGTAAGTTAATTACCCGCTTGTCCAATACAAATATGAATTCATCTAAGCTCATAAATCACACGCGAGTTCTATAATATGCCTTATCAATCATTATCTTTTCTATATTTAACTTCTTGAAACTGTAGACTATTATTTTTGCTTTAGTCGTCGGTAACCGAACTTAAGCTCGGACATCAGTCGATCAAGCTTTTCTTCAACCGATCAACCTCTTCATCAGCTCACAACATCTTCATCAGCTCACAACATCTTCATCAAGCTCCAACAAGTATATTGATGAGTATGTGATTAACACACTACCAAATCAGATAAAAAATAATTATTAACACAACGTTTTTAAAAATTCAAGAATCATTAGTATAATTTTTAAAATTTAAGAATATTTTGTACAATTTTTGAAGAATTTGAAAGTAAATGAGTGTGATTAACACACTATCTATTTTCCTATTATTACTCCCTCCGTCCTATATCTTTCTTCCCATTGCGCAAAACGAAGAAAAATCTCAAGTTTTTTCAATCTATTTTATTTAAATATTGGTATAGAAATAAAAAATAAAACATACAAATTTAAAAACTACATCAAAAGTTCAACAAAACAAGTGGTGACAAGAATATCTTATTTTATCATATAGGCCATAAAAAAACACAAATAAATATAAATTCCCGTAAAGTTAGAATAGTACTCTGGGAAGAAAGTTTTAGGACGGAGGGAGTATTTCTTTACTTCGTATTTTATGATGATTCTAATCTAATTTAGTTAAAATTGGATAAAGAGAATAAATAACACTACAAAAATATTGCCCAAGTGTCAACAAATTGTGGACAATTTCAGAAGGGTTTTTGAATGGGCCATGCTACACTTACACCACAAATTGTACATCATTTATACACCACATGTATACACAAACATTTTGATGGTTTAAACTGACACAAGTGTTGGTGTATTAACAAAAAATTACACAGATACAAAGTGTTTGTGCATTAATAAAAATTAGTTTTATACTAATACAAAGTATTAGTGCAAACTTGCAGAGTACAAAGTAGGGTACAAAATATGGGGTACACTTTCCTCCGCCCTGCATTTCCACTCACAACAACCAACGACCACCAATGATCCGCCGGCGCCTCCTTTCCTCCGCCCTGCATTTCCAGAACCGCCTCGCCGCCGCGCTCTTAAACCCTAACACCGAAACCCCGTTCAGAATCTCCCCCATTTTAGCCTCCCATTTCTCCACCTCCTTCCTCGTAACCAAAACCCCCAAGAAATTCCGCAAAAAACGGAAGAAGGAGAGCGCGAGAACCAAGCCGGTCCAGACCCCGCCCAACCTCTCGCCACACTTCGAGAACCTCCTCCTCCGGGACAACCGCCTCCGGTTTCTCACCAGAACCAAAGAGTTCCTCTCCAAACAGCCCGAGCGCATCCTCCGCCTCGACGACGCCGGGAAACTCCACCAGCAGCTCGGCTTCCCCCGCGGCCGCAAGGTAGTCAAGTTCCTCCAGCGCCACCCTACCGTGTTCCAGATCTATCGCCACTCCGACAATAAGCTCTGGATCGGATTCACGGAATCCATGGAGGAATTGTTGGAAGAAGAGTCTAGAATCATGAACGACATGGAAGATGAGAGAGTCAATGTGGTGAGGAAATTGTTGATGATGTCCAAAGACAAGAGAATTCCCCTGAGCAAGATCTACCATAACAGGCTCTTATTCGGCATACCAGAGGATTTCCGAGATCGGATCTCAAAGTATCCCAAATACTTCAAGGTAGTGGTGGAGGCGGACGGGAAGCGAGTGGTGGAGCTCGTGACGTGGGACCCGCTGCTGGCCGTGAGCGAACTGCAGAAGGAATACATGGTGGACGAAGACAAGGCCAAGAAGGCATTCAAGTTCAAGGTGAAGCACGGGAAGTCATTGGATCTGGAAGAAGAAGACGAGAGGAGGTTGAATCTGTTGAACACTCTGCCTCTGGTTTCTCCTTATTCGGATGGTAGGAAGAAGGATCTGTGGAGTCTGGACGCAGAGAAGTTCAGGGTGGGAGTGATCCACGAGTTTCTGAGCTTGACACTGGAGAAGAGGGCTTACATTCATAACATCGTGGAGTTCAAGGACGAGTTTTGCCTGACCAAGCACACATACCAGATGCTGAAGAAACAGGGGAGGAGTTTCTACCTGGGTGGCACGGAGATGAACTGGTGCGTCTTCTTGAAGGATGCGTACGGGGAAGACGGGAGCTTGATCCGTAAGGATCCTCAAGTTGTGTTCAATGAGAAGTTGTATGGGTTTGCAGATGTATCCATGAAAGAATTGCAGGCTGAGAATGACATGTGTGTTGTTAATGCCTTGTGAGGTTCAATGGCACCAGAGGGAGTAGAACCCAAACAGCACAAAAAAAATGTGAGGCTAGGGAGCCTACTCTACAAGGTTTTGTACAATCCTTATGAGGGTTCTATGATGAACTATTGTCAAATGTTCCATAATCAAAGAAACCTGAAAACAGGCAGAGGTGACTAGAATCAGAAATGAGTAAATTATCCCTACCTTAAGAGATCTACCAACAACAACAGGATGAGCAAGAACAAAAACTCTATCAATGAGAGCAATAACGGGCAGCCACGCAATGTGTGTTGTCTCTATAGACATTATTGTTGGTGAAGGTAATCAGGTAGTAATCATGTAGGCTAACGTTTGAACAATTTCTCTAGTCGAGTATCTGCTTGAAGAGACCTTAAACAACGATTAGAAGTCTATGTACGAGCCACTGAATTACATGAGTTATGACTTAGGTAGCTCTCATTTTGTTAAATGTCTAATTGTCTGTGTAAGAGCCACTGAATTACACAGATAATGTTAAGAATATTATTATCATCTTCATAATATTCTCATCGTTCTATCCTTATATGCAAGCCATGGAGCATGACCAAGTAGCTGCAGAAATTGATAGATGAAAGTGAAGATGGGAGTACCTTGAGCACCTCTGATAAGTGTGAGCCCCTTCAGACTCTAACACATAAAGATACAATCCAAAGAAAAACACAAGATAACATGGCTGCCAAGCAGCAATGGAATATCCAACTCCCTGAATCAACAATACATATGGCTTAATATTACACTCTGGCCAAGGTGCCACTTTGGTTGGGACATACCACTTATCGGGATAAACCACTCGGGCTCGGGACATGGCACTCTGGCCAGACTTAGCCATTTGTCCATGCGGCTGCTTGGACTCTCTCTTGGTCTGTGCGGGCCAGGTATCTGCAATGCCATGGGCCTATCAAATGGGCCTGATATGTGCTTGGACATTATCCCAAGAATTATCTTTTAAACTATGAGATCACCCATTCGACCATATTTTCCATTAGATAGTGTTAATGTCTTCTACAATATCATACACCACATGCCTTCTAAGTGTTTTATTAGCTAGTCTTCTCTATTCTTTTTTAATTTCCTATTATTATTTTATTAGTACATTATAAAATAAATAAATGTAAAAACCCTAACAAATGTCTTTATTTATTCAACTTTTGACACTATAATTAAATATAAGTGAATGGAAGGAATATACAAAATTGCATAGTAAAAAAACATTTGTTTTTGCCATGAAAAAAGGTGAATACATCTCTCTAAAAAGTTGTTAGTACTAACAATAATATGAACGGTTTCCATCTTTTCCGAAGATTGGGTCTAAAGATGTGGGCATATTCATATGATTATATCTCACACACCCCAAAACTTTAGAAATTTGTTTTGGCCTGCAATGTGAAAGTTATATCTAATATGATAGTTTCATGTGCGCAGTGGGTACAAAATGACCTTTCAAAGTAATCCCTCCGTCCGGAAATGATATTCCCATTGTACGTTTTTTTCCGTCCGGAAATGATGTTTCCATTCTACTTTTTATAACATTTTTTCTTAAACTACCCCTCCCATTAAATCTCTTTTCTTCTTCTTTCGTTACCCATTTTCTCCGCCACCCACATCAACTGATTCATCTCTCTCCCTCTCCCCACTCGTTCTTCCCCCCTCCCCGATCTTCTTCTTCTCCTCCTCTTCTTTTTCTCCTCTTCTTCTCTTTTTCTTTTTCTCCTCCTCAACCTTCTTTCTCCATGTCCTCCTACACCTGCTTCTTTTTTTCTTCCCCCTCCTAAATCTGTTCTAGATCTATGGTCTAGCGGCGATGGTGGACCCGATGGCGGCGGCGAGAGCTACGGCAGCAGTGGATCTACGGTAGATCTATGCTAGATTTGTGGATTCTCTGTTTAATCTTCTTTTTCTCATCTTTCTCCTCTCCGTTTTCTCTCTTTCTCCTAGAGATTGTGCGATGGAGGTGGGGGCTGACAGAGGTGGTGCAGCTGTGGGGCGATTCTGGTGTTGGCGATCGGGGCTGGCAGATGCAGTGATGATGGGGCGGTCAGGGCTGGGGAGAGGGTGGGGCGGCCGGTGGTGGATGCTGGGGAGGTGGTGGCTGGCTGGCTGCTAAAACTCTAGCACGGGGTTAGGCAGTGGTGGGGATGCAAGGGTGTTTTGGACATTTTAATGCTAAAGTCAACACTTCTTAAAAATGAGGAAAAGTCAAGTCGGGAACATCATTCCCGGACGGAGGGAGTATCAAACTAAAACTATATTGTGATTTTTCTCACCATTCTGGATTTGTTTCGTTCAACTTATTTTTTTTAGTTTAATAAATATTCTTACTAAAATCAGAAGAGACTAAATTAAATCAGAAATATCTTTAAACATAAATACAAATAGATCAAATTCAATAATATCAAATTAGATTTTCAAAAAATCAGATCAGATCAAATCAGATGAAACGCACTAAAGTATGAGAATGTTCCACATTTTTGGAAATGTGTTTTCTTTTAAGGCGTACATTAAAAAAAGAAATAAAGAAATGTGATAAAAAAGAAATAAAGAAATGTGATGTGGACATATTCAGATGTTTACACATTTAAAAAAAAAAGCGAAAAAAACCCTCCGTAGATAGATTTACAGGCTTACAGTTACAGCAGACTTTGGACGGATTTGCTGTACTTCGATTTTTAATTTTTTTTCCTTATTTTAATTATCCCGCTCTTGTCGCAGTTTGTACAGAGAAGAAGTATATTTGCTCCGGGAAACTCAAATTTGCGCTTTTCCCCTCCCGTTCGCTAAATGGCATCCGCCACCGTCGTCGATACACTCGATGCTCCTCCTCCTCCTCCTCCACTCGCCGCCGCCGCCGACCGCATACTCCATCTCGATTCAATACCTACCGTTGATCTCCGCCTACTGTCCCAATCGGAGCTCTATTCTCTTTCCCTCTGTTCGCCCTCCGCTTTTGACCCCCGCCGCTCCGACGACGTCGTCACCCCCAAACTCGACCGCTCCGTCTTCAACGAGTCCGCCGGCTCCCGCAAGCAGACCTATTCCCGCCTCCGTCTAGCTCCTGCCTCCTCATCCTCCGCCCTCCGTAGCCGCACGCCTCATCTCCGCGCCACGAACCACGACCAGAATCATCCGACCCCCGTGACAGATCCGGAGAACTTTCAAATCGTGGCCCTCCTGAAACGGCTCTTTTCAGCGGAGGCCAATCCCGGCGACTTAGCCCCTATTGCAGTCGATTATGCGGATGCCGTTCCGCCGGTTGCCCAATTGGCCAATGTCCCGCCCCCTGGCTTCAAGAGAAAGCGCGGACGGCCGCGAAAGGACAGGAACAATATCGAGGACCAGGAATTCGACCGTATAACTCATTCAAATGGCGATTTTCCTACGCCGGACGCCGTGATCTACGAGAATTCCGTGGATAAGGATAAGGAGATTGCGAATGCCGAAGGCACGCCTGTTGATTTGGTGGCCCTGGCTTCGTTGCCGGATCCATTTGACACGGAGTTGAGGCGAAGGACAGAAGGACACGAGGGCGAGGCGGAGCTGTTAGGGTTTCTCCAGGGTTTGAATGGACAGTGGGGAAGCAGGAGGAAGAAGAGAAGAATTGTGGACGCCAGCGAATTGGGGAATGCTTTGCCCAAAGGATGGAAGCTTTTGCTCTCCCTCAAAAGGAAGACGGGCCATGTTTGGGTCTACTGTCGTCGCTACATAAGGTTCTGAAAAAAAAGCTGCTCTTCTTAATTGCCATAATTGCTTCTTTTTAAAATCTTTCTTTTGAAGTGACCTTATGTCATTTGATATGATGCACACTCAAATTCTTGGGATACAGTTTTTCCATGTTTAGGAGACCTCATATATAGTCAATTGAATTCTTTGGGACGCCTTATTTTCCATTACCACAGTTGTCTTGTCAATAAAACTCATTGACATTTTTTTATTCATTGAAGAACTAATTATAATGGGGAATGTTACCACTTGGAGTAGTATATACATGATTTTTTTTATCTTAATTTTGGGGCTGATTAATATATGGCGAGATGTCAGTCTTTTGGATGTAAATCATTCAGTATCAACAGATAGTCCAGTTGTAAAATGCACTCTAGGGCATGCAATTTTGGAGGAATTGGTTGCTTTCTTTACTTATCTAACCTATGGTTGTGTGAGTATTAAAATGATTGTACTCATACACACACAATGACACAACTTCACTCTGTTCTAAATTGTGTTCAAATTCCACATTATCTGTCGCAAATATATGTCAATGGCCATTTTCATTGATGTCCTGGACTCCTGGTCTTTGTTTGCATCTTTAACTACTGCCAAGTGCCAAGACTGTCTATGATAACTTTTATCTGTATGTTCAACTTCAGGTTCCTTGGCACTTCAGGAAGTACTCTTTAGCAATTGTAGTGGTATTCATTATGCCCATTTAGCAGTAACAATACATTGCTTCTTTTGCTGAAACAAATGAAATAAAGAAATAAGTATATTTTTTATTCTCATCATTTAGATATGTTTCCTTTTATGTTGTGTATTTTATACATATTTTCAGATAACTCAAAATATGCTCATTAAATTTGCAAATTCAGCCATTAAATTTGCAAATTCAGCTTATTCAACCATTTTACCCAAAATTTACACCGACCAAATGTGCTCATGGAATCATATTTGCTACTCTAGCTTTGATTTTTATACCTCGTTTTTGCCATATATGCAGCCCAAGTGGACGGCACTTTATATCATTTGAGGAAGTTTCGTCGTATTTGCTGTCCCTTCACGGGAAGGGACAGCAAAGCATCCCTCCATTTAACTCTGTTGAGAGTACCAAAAGCACCATTGAGTATAAAGCTCCTTCTCCAGTTACGAACAAAATGTCACAGATAGTAGATGATGTGACTGATAAGGAAAACATTGCTAGCCATGGGACTTCATCTCCTGTTAGTAATAAAGTTCTAAAAGATTCGATGGTTGGAGATTTGCAAGAGGTCCCTGTCATGGAAATTGCTAATAGTAATGTAGATATTGATAGTAAGGTTGGTTTGAAGAAGAAACAAACTTCTTGTCACAAGAGAAGGAAACCAAAAAACGGTCAATCCATTACTGATGGAGTAATTATCAGAGATGGAAAATTTGTGTGCCAGTTCTGCAACAAGTCATTTGATGAAAGGCATCGGTACAATGGTCATGTTGGTGCCCATGTGAAGAATCAAGTAAAGAGTACCAATGAAGCACTACAGATGAAAGTTGGCCTACAAACAGACTCCACTTTGCAAAAATCTACTGTTTTGGAGCAAGTAGTTTCAGAAAGTGACTGTGTGGATGCAGAATCTAAGCTGAACTCCTCATGTCATGTTAATCTTGATTATCGGGATGGTGAGGACTTGAAGACGTTTGATGAATTGGGAACTGTAGACGAGCCTGACAATTTATTTTCCATTAAATATAAAGAATGTTCAGGCTCTAAAGCTTATATGTCTAACCATGAAAATATTGTCAATGGTTGCTTAGTTGTTGCTGAGGATTACAATCAACAACCAAGGAATTCAGACATCTGTTCACCTTTCCCATTACATGATAAATTAGATACTATTGAAAATACTATGATTGGGGGTACATCTAGTTTAGTTGAGACGGAGAAGGCTCCAGATTCTGGAAGTGTTTTAAATTGTTCAGCTAACAATGTAGAAGCATGTGACTTTGATGAGCTTCAACGTGTAAAGGACAATCCTGAAATAGAAAAAGAATCTGGATTTTGCATTATCAGTAGGGAAGATGATGTTCAGATGAATGATGTCACACCCTCTTCTATACAAACAATGACAGAAAGAGGCTGTGAAGATGTTTTAGATACACTGTCAGTTGACGTGGAAGACCGTGTTGATAATTTAAACATACTTTTTTCTAGCTGTGCTGGTGATGAGCAGAAGTTTGATGACATATCCATAGTTGAGAAAACCAATGGTGGCTGTGTTGAATCAACCAATGATTTTGGGTGTAATCCGTCTTGGAGTAAAAATATAGATTCTGCCGAAGAAAAGTATGGAAGTCAGTTTCCTGAGTGCTTTGAAAAGCATGAGAAGAATGGTGCTATGGTAAATTATTCTGATAATAATGTGCCAATGAGGAAGGTTGATGATCTGGACATCAATGAGCTCCAGAATGTTAGCAATGATGAATTGATTTTCCCTTTTAGTAGCAGTCACGTTGGATTAAATGTTGATTCCTCTTCTACCGATTTGAAACAGGACAGAAGCCTTCACTTCTCACTTTTTGGTGATGATAATGAAAACAAGGATTACAAAAGTAATACTGTTGAAATGTATGGGCAGGGACCATCTGAAACCTCAATCCTTCCTCGGGCTATTGGTCATGAAGCTTCTGACCAGACATTTACTAGGATTAATGGACTTCATTGTTCCGGAAATCAAGATCTAAATCTCAACTTTGGAAATTCTCATGTGGAATTTGGCATGAATGCTGACATCATGCAACTTCAGCAGCAAGGGTACCCTGCAGGGAGGTCAAGCTTTCAAATTGGTATGGAACAAACGTATGGCGGTCAAAGCAGTCTTGTGCAGAACACAAATCACAGAAGAGTAGAGCATCAGAAGAAGGGGTTGGCAGTAGGGGTTGGTTTCCAAACTCCAACATTCAATGGAAAATTTGGTGATTTCGGAAGTAATTATAATACGATGGTGTTCCCTAATGGCTGCTGGGAAGAAGAGAGAATGGATGATATTGGAAACTTCAGTAAGAATTTTATGGGTAGTGGTAGGGGTAATGTTGTCCAGACTAAGGGTACAACGGATGGAAGCATTTGGAGAAATAGTGCAGGAAATTTATTGAATCATGATGGCAGCATGACATCTAATGCAAACCAACTGGTGCAGTCAACAAATTGCTTTCAAACCTATGATCTAATGTCAGATAAGGTATCCAATATTCTGTTTTCTCAGTAACTGTTGTTTTGGTTGAATATCTTTGTTTTCACAGTACATTACGCCATCACTATAACACTCAATGCAGATTTTCCATTTCATTTTTCATATTTGAAAATAAAAAATGCGTTCTTTTCTAATAATTCCAGAGTGAAGGTCTTTTCAAAATGAACGAGAAGTATGACAGAAGTAGCAACGTTGAAGGGTTGAGATCAGACAGAAGCGAACCAGTGGAATACAGTTTTATGGGGACCCAGAGTTTGAGCTGTGGCCAACGAGAACCGAAGGGGTTCTCTTATGAGGTGGATACAGGCGAAGGGTTCAATACGTCATTCTGGCTGGGGAAAGACGGCGGTGGGGCCCCAAACGTATTGGGAAGGAATTTGGTTTCAACAGTGTGCATCTGGTGCAGCAGCACCTACTATCAGGAAGCCACCCACCAATCTAGCACACACGGTGTTGTCGGTTCGATGTGTCCTACTTGCAGTTCTAGAATTTGACATATGATAATTTTTGGATCGTCGTCATTCTCTCAGGTATCAATGCATATAACTGCTCATGGTTTTGAAAATTCTTTCACTTCATTGTTACAATGAGTGTCTCTTAATAAATCCAATATATATTAATAGGAGTATAGATTTTTGGTTTTTTTCTTGGTATAGTAGAATTTTGGTTTATACATCTGTTTTCACCAATATTTAGGCCTGTTTGGAAGGTTGCTTTCTGCTGGTAGCTTGTTGTATTGTTAGCTATTTTGCTGGTTTGAGTGGTTGATGTGCTGGGTGATTGTTTAGAATCCGGAGTATTTGGTAAATATCGTCCGTTCAAATGTTATTCTCAAACGGAAAATGAGGAATATTATGTATGCACGTATTATTCTTCATTATACGGTTATAGAAAACATGTTTGAATAGACACAAAATCCCAAATCCAACAATCCGAACTCCAAATTCAACTTCAAAATGTTTTTTTAGCACTTTGCACCATCATATCGTGGGAAGACATGCACCAATGCAAATGACGACAATATAGTATCCTCTTCTTAGAATTCCCAAACTAGTTTTATCCTTTACAGCAGGCATCATTTACTAAAAATAAACATTCACATGGACTATGATGAAATCTGCAAATTGATCATCATATATCATCAATGGTTCTTTTCCATCATCTTCGATGGAGTCAAAATTTCACCATTTTTGGCTTTGGGGTGTGATGGAATAAATCAAAATGGATCTCTAAACTATCTGCGCTTTAATTAATGAAGTAGCAGTTAGTCAAACACTGCAACTTTCGATGTTGAGCCGGGGGTCTCTTTGGAAACAGCCTCTCTACTTTTGAGTAGGGGCAAGGTCTGCGTACACACATCCTCCCCAGACCCTACTCTTGTGGGATTTAACTGGGTTGTTGTTGTAGTTGTTATATCATCAATGGTTCAAGACTACTCTCATTCTTTCCGAGGGCCCCTAAGCACCAGCCGAACAGTTAGTTGAGAGGAGGTGAATTGAGCTATAATCTCAGTCACTTGGCGTAAGGGTGGAGTTCCATGTCTAGTACTTGCAGAAGCCTTGTAATCTGCATGGTTGCCTCTCAATGCAGCCACCAAGCTTCGAATTCGAGTTCTCATGTAGCACTCCTATGCAAACCGCTGAGCTACAAGAATACTTGCATGATTGTAAAAAGAAATGCAATATTATCATTTAAAACAAAACAAAAAGTACCATATCCTGTAATAAACCAACATGGCCCATTTTTTAAGCATAGGTAGTGTGGAATTTCAAAGGTTTGCCTACACAGATGTCCAAATAGATCACCCAAAAAAAATGATGGAAAATATTTAGTTCTGAAAACAAGAGAGAAAACTTACGGCCACCAAGGACTGGGCTTGCCCCATGAGTTGGGCTGATCTTGGGATTGGAAATTTGGGCTTGGGCTTGTATACTACTCCACCATTTTGAAATGAAAATTACTCCCTCTTGGATCAAAACGCTGTGTTGTTGGGAATAGAAATGTAAATATCTCCTCATTTTGGTTTCCTTGTATAGTTATTTATTTATTTATTTATTTATTTATTTATTTATTTATTTATTTATTTACACTATGTTTTGTTCAAGGAATTTGGAAAGAAAAAGTAAAAGAAAATGGTTTTCCCTCGGTTTCCTCAGTTTTCTTTTCTTTCCACTTTTCTTTTATTTTTCTCTTTAACCAAACAAGAAAAATATTTTTCTTCTCATTTTTTTTTTCATTCTCTCTCAAATTCCTTGAACCAAACATACCGTTAGTTTCTTAGTTGGAATAGAGTTTCCAATTAAGCTTGTAGGTCCCTCTTATATACTTCCTGTCCCTCATATATCTTCCCAATAGTCTTTTTTCTTTGTCCACAATAGATCTTCTCATTTCATTTTTTAACAATTAAAATACCACAACTACCCCCACTTACTTTATTTATTACACCTCACCCACCTCATTTAATACACACCACCCATTTTCATTAAGGGTATTATGGTAAACTTTCACCTTTTTTCAACTCTCCTTAAAAACCGCCAAAAGTCAAAATGAGAACATCTTAGGGGGACGGAGGGAGTATATAGCTTTGTTGTTCTCTTGGTTTGACACAAAATCATGCAATGGGTAGGATAACATAATCAAGAATATAATTTTAATATATTAAATATTTATAGGATCTACTCCATATTCATTTAGATTATGCTTAATTTGTGGTTAATGAATATTACTATTTGACCAAAAAACCGAGAGAGAAAGAATTTTGAGGACGAAGGAAGTAACACCTAGTGAAGAAGGGCATCAATCCCCATCAGAGAGTGAAGACAAATGCGTCCATTATTCATCATTTTCTTTCAAGAACTTATAATCCCTTTGTCTCGTAAAGCATTTCAATTTTATATCTTACTTGTCCTATAAAACATTTTAATTTATGCTAAATGGACACAATTGTCATTATTTTTCTTAAATTAAACTGAACCTGTCTAAATTACCTTCTACGTCGTACCTATTTTGACAATTCCTGAACCTTACTTCTTTCAATTGTCGTCGTTTCAGTTGGTCAATTTTCTAAAGTTTCCTCTCCTAAAATTCAAAGTAGGAAATATTTTGCGGGACGGAGGAAGTATAAATTTAATAAAAAGATTTATATAATAAAATAATAAAAAGAATTATAGCAATAAAAAAATATGCATTGAAATATAAAATTCGTAACAACACAATTAAATAGGAAATACTAAATACTACGAAGTAATTAATAAAAAAGGAAAAAATCTAACTTCCTTGAAATTTAAATTCAAATTACAAATACTAAAAAAAAGTAAAAAATTGCTTGGAAATTTAAAACTTTGAAAGCAAATACTATTGATTCCCCCTTCCGCTCTCTCTCTCTGACATTTTCGACATATATCCTCTTTTATGAAAAAAAGGATGATCCCCGTCCCCGAGGGTCCACTCAGTCCTGCACTGCACTTGACACTTACAGAGGCTCTATGCTTAGTATAATTGTCTTCAAGCACAGTTGTCAGGAATCGAACTTGGATTTTATAAGCACTTCAAGGAGGTGGCTGATATAAATCATGTTCATTTTCTCTATGAAAGTATATTTACCATTTTACCAAAGGGCAGACGAATTTAAACGGAGTATTTGTAGCTTCTTCAATAATTCAATTATAAATTATTGAGGAATAACTGTAGTCAGTCTAGTTGGCCTGCTAGCTACCTGTTGCTTCACTTGTTCAAATTAAAGTTGTATAAATGTTAATTCCAGCATCACATTATATTCCAATGTTTATGGTTAGCATTTCTAGCTTTAATTTCAAGTTACTCCACATATATTTCCCCACAATATAGAGTATCTTCGTCTCAAAAAATTGTCATAGTTTGACTTTTTGTTAAATTATGCACTACTACATGTTGTGAAAAAGTAAGTTTAGTTAAAATATAAATTTATTAATGAAATTAGTTTTATTTTAAAAAATATAAATTTTGATATATTAAATTTTAAGAAAATTTATTTATTTAAAAATATATTTGACTTATCGTCAAAGTATTACTCTATACATAATTTGATACAGTAAAAAAATTCAAATTGACTATCTCTTTGGAACGTGGGTAATACTCATTCTGTCCCAAAAACTTCTTTCTCTTTCTTTTTTCCTTGTCCCATAAAATCTTCCATTTTTCTATTAAAAAATCATTTTTAGTCCTACTAATTTTTAATCTACTTATCACATCATACTTTTTTACTTGTAATCTATCAATCATATCCTACTTTTACCTATTACTTCAAGAATATTTTTGGAAAGTCAACACAAAATTATTCCTCTTATAACTTTTCTTAAAATTAAAACAGGAATATGACGGAGGAAGTATAAAATAAAAACATTGCAAATTTAAGTTATTGCAAGTAGCTAGGCCGATCGAGTTCGATCCCTTGAAATTCCATTCTCTGTCGGTGGGCGTTGCACAGTTGGCATGACAAGGGATGCCAAGGGAGTAAGACTTGAGTTCGATTCCTGGCAACTGCGCTGGGAGCTAGGTAACTATGCTAAACATAAGGCCTCTACAAGTATCAGGTGCAGACTCTACGTACTCTTTGCCACCGATCTGTGATTAAAGTTCAATTTAACTCTTCTTAGTGACCATCCGGCCGGGTCTGAGAGACCCTCGGGGATGGGGCTCATCCTTTTTTTTGAAATTCTATTCTCAGACACACCATCCAATATTTGTTAGGTTACTACTTCCTCGGTTCTATAAAACTTTTTTAAGTTAAAAAATAACACGACGTAAGAATATGTGATTTTAGTACTCCCTCCGTCCCCATTATGATTACAATTTTTGTTCTCTCCTCTCGATAACTTTTGTTTATTTACGCGATTTCATTATGTATTTAATAAAATGAAATATTTTTGTCACCTCTTGTTTTTGATATGTAATTTTTATTTCTTATTGATATTCTGATTTGTAAATAAAATAATTTCAAAAAGTGTGATATTTTTCCCCGTAAACCTCAATTTGTAATCAAATTGAATTGGGAACATAGAGAGTATTTTTTAAGCATATCTTATTTATTCTATACATTATATATTACCATATTACGGATATAAACTAAAGATAGTTTTTCTTTAAAAAATTATGCTACTCTCTCTGTCCCACAAAGTCTTTCTTGTTTTGACTTTTAAAGGATTTAAACGGAGTCTATTTGGATGTTGACTTTCCAAAAATGCCCTTGGATGTATTGCGTAAAAATAGATGTGACAGATAGATTAATAGTGAAAAAATGATGTGATACATTAGTTAAAAATTAGTAGGGGTAAACGTGACTTTTTAATAAAAAAAGAAAGGTTTTTTAGGACCCATGAAAAAGAAAGAATAAAAATTTTGTGGGACGAAGGGAGTACTAAAATTTTAAAGTTATACTCCGTATATTTTTTCGGTGGGTTCTAGTGACACCCACATTTGGTGACCCTAGCGGTGCCACTGTCATTTTGGAACACTTCCGGTGCTCCGTTCATGAAATTAACGGTTCCTACCCCCCCTAACCCACGTACCCCCCTAAACCACCCACCCTACCCTGCACCTGCACCCCCACCCCAATCCCGTCGTAAGCCCCCCACAAAATGATAGCTCTCTCCTTTTATGGGAATAGGTTCAATTAATTTTGAGAAATAATTTTTTTTATTATTCTCAAATGAAAATTAATTTATATGTATCCAAGCGACTTTGAATGAACTTTACAATTTTCTTTTATATAATGTCTAAAAATTACAAAAAAAATCATTTTTCATTACTATTTAATTTTAATTAAGAAAGCAATAGATAAAAATCTTTAGTTCTATCCAATCCAAATAAATTACAGTCACACATTTTTTACTTTTAATATACCAAGAGTAATACTCCCTCTGTCCCGTAAAGATAAGGACGGTTTGACTAAAGTAGTAAAATAGGAGGGGATAATTTTGTGTTGACTTTTCAAAAATACCCTTGATGTGATGAGTAAAAGTAGGATATGATGTGTAGATTATTAGAAAAAAGGTATGATGTGATAGATAGGGTATGAAAAAATAAGGGGTAAAAGTGGTTTTTAATAGAAACGAGAATGACTTTAAGGGACACAATTTTTTTTAAAACGGGAATGACTTTATAGAACGGAGGGAGTATATTTTACTATGAATTTTTAACACTTAACAAAAATTTCATGAAGTGAAATTGTAAGATTATGTATAAATTTTTTAAATACAGTGAGAATATAAGTTAATTTCAATTTGTATAAAAATTTGAAATCGATTAATTGTCGCAAATAAATAAAAATAAAAGCTGTTATTTTGTATGCCATACACGACGCACGCTACATGCATGATGAAATGATTGGCCGCCTGAATATATTACATTCCAGTATAGATGCACGGAGCTTTTTTTGTGGCGGCGATTATCTCACGCTGTCCAATTTTATACCGAACAATACGGAGTAATAGAATATTTTATGGGATTTTTTTTATATAAAAAAAATAAACATTGGTTCATAAAATTTCTTGCAGTACATCTCAGACTCGATGATCAATAAAGTACACAATTATATCACCCTCTTCCATTGTTAAGTTTGTCGTAGGGGTGAGTTCGGTTTTGGCGATTCAGTTTTATGCGGTTTTTATTTCGGTTTATAAAAGTAGAAATTTATAAGCATTAAAAAATTGCAAAAATACTAACTCGATGAAACAATAACAATATGTAGTGTTAGCTTTGTTTTTTTTGTTTGATTTTTTACACAAAAACAAAAACCAAGCGGGAGGTTATTGTTCCTTTCGGTTCAATTTTACATAAAAAATATGTGTTCGGTGCCCAACAAACATTTAGAAGATTTCAAGAACTTCCAAGGACATCGTATGTAAAATCAATTACGAAGAATTTATGTTTTTTGGTATAATACTTACATTTTCATTATAACATCAAAGTATTTTTATGTAAATACGTAAATTACTCGTATCAATTTTTAATGTTAATATAATTCTATATTAGGATTAGCTATTGGTGTTCATATTCTTAGGTTTTTTTAAAGTTTATAATAATACGGCTAGAATTTTTAATTAGTAGTTAAAAAATAATTTTAATCGACTAGTAATTTATTTGCAGTTATATTTCTATAATTTTTCTACATATCACATATATTCATATAGATAAAGCGAAGTATCTAAGAAAGTTCGGTTTATTCGGTTCGGTTCGGTTTTTCAAAGTGAAAACCAAAACGGAACCAAACACTAACGGTTCGGTTTTTTTACATTCGGTTTTGGTTTTTTCGATTCAATTTTTTTTCTAACTCGTTTCGATCGATTTCGGTTCGGTTTGCGGTTTTCGGTTTTCTCAACCCAGCCCTAGTTTGTCGCATTGAGTTTCTAATTTTGTACATGAATGATCTTTAATCTTTATGGTGAACATTTTAAGTATCCATATTGCCATATATATACGACTTAAAACTAAAAAAGTTGAAAATGTAATATCCTCACCTCCCTAATTAATGTACTCAGTATATTGTTATAAAATATTAATGTTAGAGTGTCATCCCACATCAGAAGTTCAAGATCAAAATAATCGGTATATAAGCTCTTGAGTTGAACTAACTAATCGATTGGATTCAATCTTTTAATGTGGTTCAGCCCAAATGTCTTATAGCCCAATCTAGTTGTCCATACAAATCCTAAATTCTATCAATTAATTTATGTACTATCTACCACGGTCTTAAAAAATCTCTCAAAATATCACTTTTATTACTACTAATTCTTGCTTTATCTATCACATCAATATTTACATACTAATAATCTACCTTCATATTCTACTTTAATTATACTACGTATCAAATTATTTTTGAAAAGTTAACATAAAAATATTCTTTCATAAAAATATTCTTTCATTAAATTCATTTAGATTAAGAAGAGAAAGATTTTAAGCAACGGAGGAAGTATGTTATTAAATCTCACGAATGTACAATTTTTAATCACATTATATATACATCGATCAACTCAATCCGGCCGGAATTCATTTCATCATTTAATTTGCGAAGTGAATTGACAAAAGAGTAATTTACTTAAATAGAACTAAAACATAATGACTTTCCCAATATAGGACCATATGTTTTTATTTCCCAATGTAAGACTTTTGGTCATTATGAATTAGTCATTATTCAAGTAATGTCCATCATTACTGGACATTATTCTTCCCACTAAGACATTAATAAGTCCTATTTAGGGAATAAAAAAGTTTAAGTCCTAGATTAAGAAAGTCATTATGTTTTAGTCCTATTTAGTGCAAATTTCACTTGACAAAATGGAAGAGCTTCATCCAAGAAGGTTCTCTTAGACCCGGCCAGATAGTCACTGAAAGAAGATAAATTGGATTTTAATCACAGATTGGTGACACAGAGTCGAGTTTGCATATAATACTTGCAGAAACCCTATGCTTAGCAAGAATCCCTCTCAGTGTAGTTGTCACAAATCAAGCTCGGGTTTACTTCCTTGACACTTTCTACCTTTGTTAACTGCGCAACAGCCACCGGCTCGACAACTTTAACAAGACATTTGGATAGAGAGAAAATGGAAAGAAAGACAACAAGATGAGAGAATATACTTTTTTTTGTGAAAACAAAAGAAAACTGTGTGAGAAGAGGAGAAGGTTTAAGTAGAATTAAATAAAGGGAGATACTCCATGATGAGGCCAATACGTACTACTCCGGGGTACTACTTTCGTCGAAACATGTTTAACTAACTAAACTCTGTAATGGATATAACAGTTAATTAGTGTTAAATTACTGTGATTATCGCATATTTAATCCCATGACCTACTGCATTTCTACTTCTACATCATCCGGAAGCCATTGTGGCAAGGTTTCACCATGCACGCCCAAACATATATTCCTTGTCCCGAAATAAATATTGGTTTTTAATTTCAGATTTCTTAATAAAGTACTTTTAGTCATTATCCATTAGTCATTATTTAAGTAAATGTTCTCAATCACTGGACATTATTACGTGTTATTTAGAGAATAAAACAGTTTAAGTGCTATTTAGAGAAATGACTTAAGTTTTAGTGCTATTTAGTGCAAATATTTCTTAAAAAAATAGATCATTGAAATTTTTTAATTTTAAGACAAGAAAAAGCTTAAACTTGTACTCCGTAGTTGTAGTCCAAAACAAGTTTTAAACTCTTAAACTCTTTATAAATGAAAATAGAAATGTTAAACTTCTTTTTTAAGCGTTAGTAATTAGGTGAATTAAGTGAGTCGCCTTCTAGCTCTTACCGATCCACTATCTATATAAGTATATATACCCTCTTCCTACGTACTGCTATATACATGCATGCATGCATGGGGGTGTGGTTTTGAGCTGCACAAAAGAGATAAAAATATAACAATGGAGAATATTAGAGCTGCTAATAACAATAATAATAATAATGAGATTATTATAAAGTCTGCTAATAAGTGGAGGAAAACCATTCTCCTACTCATCAACGGTTTCATACTTAGCATAGGAAACTGCGGCGGCCCTCTGATGACCCGCCTCTACTTCGTCCGCGGCGGCACCCGGACATGGTTCTCCAGCTCCCTCCTCACCGCCGCCTGGCCCCTCACCCTCCTCCCTCTCGCCGCCTCCTACTTCCTCCGCCTCCGGTCCGAGGGGCCCGCCGCCAGGCTCTTCTTCATGACCCCGAAGATCCTCGCCGCCACCGCCGCCGTCGGGGCCGTCAACGGCGTCGACAGCTTCCTCTACGCCTCCGGCGTGTCGAAGCTCCCGATCTCCACCTCCGCCCTCCTCATCGCCACCCAGCTGGCCTTCACCGCCTGCTTCGCCTTTCTTCTTGTGAAGCAGAGGTTCACGCCGTACTCGGTGAACGCCATCGTGCTGTTGACGATGGGCGCCGGAGTTCTGGCATTTGGGGCCAGCAGCGACCGGCCGGCGGGGGAATCCGCCAGGGAGTACGTTGTTGGGTTTATAATGACGATTTTGGCGGCGAGTCTGTACGGGTTTCTTTTGCCGGCGATCGAGTTGGTGTACAAGCAGGCAAAGCAGGGGATCACGTACACTCTGGTTCTGGAGATCCAGGTTGTCATATGTTTCTCCGCCACCGTCTTTTGTGCCATCGGCATGATCATAAACAAGGATTTCCAGGTAATTAATTAATTTCTCCTTCCATTCCAAAAAAATTTACACGTTTTGACTAAAATTAAAATTAAGGGAGTGATAATTTTGTGTTGACTTTCCAAAAATACCCTTGATGTGATGGGTAAAAGTAGGATGTGATGTGTAGATTATTAGGAAAAAGGTATGATGTGATAGGTAGGGTTTGAAAAAGTAAGGGGTAAAAGTGGATTTCTAATAGAAATGGGTAGGAGATTGTGAGACACAATTTTTTTGAAAGGTGTAAATCTTTTTGGGACGGAGGGAGTATTTTTTGTTACGTAGTATTAAATCTTATTTTTACTCATCATATACAAGAACATTTTTGGATGATCAACACTAAAATGACGAAATATAGCTCCTTAAATTTTTTAAAAGTCAATACAGAAAAGTCGTTTCATGTTGATGAGAAAACGCATTGTTGAAACAAAACCGGATGGATGAAAAAGGAGATATAGAATCCTTTTATATGATGGAAAAAATATAGGTACGGTCTCATTTTCCTAAAAACTCTTCCATTTTTTAGTTTTTGGAAAATACAAAGGGAGATTCGAATGTAATTTATAAATTAATAGTGAATAGATATAGCGTAATAAGTTAGATAAGGGTCATTATAAGTAAAGTAGACTTAAGTTTTATTTCTTCTTATATTTACTTGAGCTTTTCTTTTTTTCTTTTCCACTCTAATCGAAAAACGAAAATTATGTTTCCTCTTATTTTCTTTTCTATTGCATTTCAAATTCCTTGAAGGATTGTGTTAGCTAGGTAATGGCATAAAGCAATTGTGCCATCATGCATGTTGTGGTGAATATTAAAAATGTAAGCCTCCATGCGTAGCTCTACTGGTTTATGAAAAGAATGTCAAGCCTTTCGATTCTAGGATCGAATCCAAAAATGACAATGTGAGAGTCTTATTATTTGTAATAGTTTCTTGTGCGCACATGGCACGGAGCGATCTTTAAGAAAAAGATTGAGATTATACCATGATTTAACTCATCAGAATTCTGTCGGGCCGGGGTGTGGGGTGGCCGGAGTTGGCTTTCCACCTTTGCGAATATTAAAAATGTAAGGAGTAACTTGTTTGACAAGTTTTTGAGTAAATAACGTGGGTGGGTACGTTGCAGGCACTTTCCAGGGAGGCGAGAGAATTATTTAAGACGGGGGAAGGGAATTACTGCGTGGTGGTTATCTGGACGGCCGTCATGTGGCAGTTCTTTTTCGTCGGAGCGGTCGGCGTCATATGCTACGGCTCCTCCCTCTTGTCCGGCGTCCTCATCGCCATGCTCCTCTCCGTCACGGAGGTGCTCGGCGTCATCTTTTTCGGCGAGCAGTTCCGCGCCCAGAAGGGCGTCTCCCTCGCCCTCTCCCTCTGGGGATTCGTCTCCTATTTCTACGGTGAAGTGAAAAGTTCCAAGAACGCCCTCACGGATCCGGCTAACGCCGTCAAGGATTGCCAGACGGCGGAAGAAGCTATCTGCTGATCGATCATCCAATCGCCGCCGTTAACCGTGTTTTTATTTATTTATACGGAGGAATAATTCTACTCCTATACATACTTTGGTTGGTTGGAGTGTGTAAATATTGGTAGTGGAGAAAATAAGGTTCATGTCAATGCATGTAAAGACATCTTATCTTATCTTATCATCATGTAATCAAATTGGTCTTTGTTTATATATGTGTGTGTATGAGATGTTACCCAAAACAAAAATTCATCATTATATTGTGGTGTACAAATTTGTATACAAAGATACATATACATCATCCGTTTTACCAAATACTTTCGTCCTAATTTGTTGCACATCGTTCAGAACATTTGTACCAAACTTAAAATATCTAAAATGCACTCTTATTGCGCGTAAAAGTTTTTTTAAAGGTATTTTAGATATTTTAGGTGAAGTAAAAGTGTTATATGAGGTGCGTAAAAAATTAGAGCAGAAGTATTTTTTTGAAACGGAGGGAGTGCATAATGGACTCCCCAAAATAAGAGATTATAGGTTGAAATCCCAATATTGATATTTACAATCTACGCCTCTAAGTATTTGTTTGTTTTTAATTTTTTTCCAGTCAAAATTGATGAATTTTGATTGACTACTAATTAAATAAAATTGATATATTAGAATTTGATACAAACATAATTTTATTAGATTTTTCTTATATAATACTCCCTCCGTCCCATAAAGTGTTACCCATTTTGACTAAAGTTGAAATTAAGGGAGGGATAATTTTGTATTGACTTTTCGAAAATACCCTTGATGTGATGGGTAAAAGTAGGATGTGATGTGTAGATTATTAGGAAAAAGGTATGATGTGATAGGCAGGGTTTGAAAAAGTAAAGGGTAAAAGTGGTTTTTTAATAGAAATGGGTAAGGGATTGTGGGACACAATTTTTTTGAAACGTGTAAATCTTTTTGGAACGGAGGGAGTATTTTTAATACTTAATCGATATACCATAAAAATTTTATTTGATCAATTGTTTCGACTTTCACCACAGTAATTGGTACTTACGTGATTTTATTTTAATTGGGCCTACGAACAAAAGATGGGTCAACATAAAGGGTCCGTTAGCTCATAATTAGTGCTGCTCCGATCCGATCCGTATCTCTTCTGATTCACAATAAATTTGGTGAAGGTACTACATGCCAAGTTGCCAACAACAAATGGTTACGCCACCATTTCTTTGAAGACTTGACGAGAATGACGTCTCCCGTGGGTGGCTCGGAGGGTATATATATATATATATATATATATATATATATATAGTGCCAGTATGAGTAATCGAAATGTTAGTTTATTAATTTTTTTCTATTTTATTTACACTAAAAAGTACTTGGAGTACATTCTTGGTATACTCCAAGCATTTTTTTATAAATACTACTTTCTTCATTCTAGTGTATTTAACCATCTTAATTTTTTTGAATTAACCTAGATACATTTTAATGTTCGATTATTCTCAATTCGATTGCATATTCATACAATAAAATAAAATTTTAATAGTTTTCAACAAGAATAAATGAAATCATTTTTACATTAATATATATTACTCTTTTTATTTAATTAAAATCCAAAAATTACCCAATTTATCTTGCAAAAGTCAAACTCGACTCATAGACATATTTTGAAACTAGATTGGTGGAAAAGAACGATAATTTCAGTGTAAATATTCCTAGAAAATAGGGAGTAATGTAAAAAAGAGAGATTAATGCATGTGCAAGCTGTGTATTGGAATTTATTGCTAATAATTCATTATATTATCTCGCAACTTGCAAGTCATAACGCACTATGTCTTATATGGCATGCATATATCACGTAGTCTAGCTGTATTATCAGTTATATGTACATTACAGTACCACGTAGTGGTAGAGTAATATTAAGAATGTTAGAATATAAATAACTTTTCTTGGGCCACAACTATAAGTTTGAATTTTTGGTTGAATTGGTTCTTTGACAAATAAAAAACCTAGAGATATCCTAAAGTGGTACATCACCGGCCTTCAGGCCCGCCCATGAGGGTGTTCTTGAAGTGCAATTGCACAGGGCCCCTTATTACAAGGGGCCCATTTTTATTTAGATTTCATTATACTCTCTCCTTCTTAATTTAAATTACTTGTTTATTATTCACATGATTAAATTTTATTTTTTTCTTATTTTTTTATAAATTTAGTAAAATAATATAAGCATATCACATCTTGATTCGTAGAATTTTTTATATAGTTTTTAAGTAAATAAATTTTATTTTTTAATTTAACATAGTTTTTAAATAAATTGATGTAAAATAGTTTCAATAAAGTATATTCTGCAGTAAATAGTAATGGACAAATTAAATTATGACGGAAGGAGTATTAGAATAGTTAGTTGATTTTATTTTCACTCCCACAAAATGTTTTAAGTTGCCTTTTTATTGAAATATTTTGTTGTTGGTATTTTTTTAACCACATAAAATTTTAATCTTTGTATTAATAAGTGTTGGAAAAATTCTATAGTAAGGATGGATTATGTTTTTTTAGAGGAAGAATGATATTTGAAATTAACTTTGTAACCAAGTTATCCTCACTTTTATTTTCTATAAGTTATTATTCTTTTTCGTTATACATGTATTTGCTATTTTTCAGAATTATTCCATTCAAACTAGTTTATTCTATTGGTTCTTTCATTCTTCTTTGATGTCTTTTAGCTAACAATTTTAATTTAAATGTTTACCAATAACAATAGAGTTACTTTGAACTTTTGATGGAAATTGGACTTTTTAAGTCTGTAAGTTATAATATATGTAATGAAATAAGAAAAAAAATATACTTCTGCATTTTCATACAAAGTACAAAATATACTCCGTAATTTTTAACTTTAGAGCTTAAAAATATAAAAATGCACAGGGCCTTCGATATTGATTGGGCGGACCTGCCGGCCTTGTCAGAGATACTTACAAACACTTACTATCTATGTGAAACATGTACAAATAATGATTGTCTGTGAGAAGGTGGTGTTTACGTGGAGTACACCACCTTGAAGTACACCTAGCAAATCTGTAATATTTAAAGAGGTAAGATCAGGGGCGGACCTAGGGTGGTTGCAGTGGGGTCACTTGCACCCACTCCAAAAAAAATTATTTATTAGTAGTATTATATAATTGGATATTATATGTAGACTAAGGACATCTAAGGAGAGTATATTTATACGGAATATGTGATTAGGTGCTATTTTTTGAAAATAGAAGAGAGGACACATTCTATAGTTGTGTAGAATTTTATGTTTTAATTCTTTTAGATTTGGAAAACTGATTTACCTTTTATTATGAAACTTAATTATAAAATGTTCAATTTTTTTTGAAATGTATGAACAAGTTTAATTGTTTTAAAAAGATTCCTAAGATATACTTAGTATTTGAAGAAAAGTCTAGAATTACTACTTTAGTTCTTTAATTTTTTTTGGTTAAAACAATGAGCGTATTATATTTTTTATATAGTATTTCAAAAATATTGCATATAATTCACAAAATTAATCTCAGAATGCTATTTATTGATACTTTTTTTACCTTTAGGATTTTAAATTTATTGTTATACAAATATCAACATTTTTTTTGTGCACAAAATGTGAACCCACTCCCCGAAATTCTTGGGTCCGCCACTGGGTAAGATGACTACTTGATTGGTATTTTTAGTTAATTGGAATGACTTGCCAAGTCAAAACAAGTCAAAACTTAATGGTTGGAGATGCTCTTATGTGAGTTTTTTTTTAAAAAATCACAACACTTCCAAGTAATACCACAATGCTTATCTTTACTTATTATTTTACGAAGTACCTCGACTAGATATGCTAGGAATAATATGGTTTTTGCAATTAGCCACAACAGACTCCCCCTTTGCAAGTGCGACTAAAGATCAAATTTCTTCTTCTCACATGATTGTTTGACCGATTCCGAGGAGCCATTGAAAGCGAAGCTCATCCAATCTTTTTTACATATTACGTAGTACTTTTTAAACATGTTACTTCATGATCTAATTTTTTAACAATGAGGGAACTTGCCCCCCAATGGATTGAAAAAAAGATATATTTAGCATTTTTATAACCTATTTTTTTAAAAAAAACCCCTACACAAAAAAATGGATGCCCCTATTAACCTTTTCCAATCTCAAAAAAAGGTCAAGACATTTTAACACTTAATTTAAAAAGTAGTTTTAATAATATACTTATGTATACCTTCTAAATTTAAAATTCTTTATTTATTTTTTGAAAAATTATGCATGTATAGTAATTTGGAATATTGAGATGAAATTTAAACAATTTTAATCGTTTCATATTGCATTTAAAAAAGAATCCGGATGCTGCCCCTTGACCCTAAACTTGCCTGTTGGTTTGTGGATACGTCAATGGCTTCATCAAATAATCTTGTTCCATTATTCGAAAAAAAAAACAAACTTGTTTCATGAAACATGACCACAATATTTTAAATTTCCCCCCTAACTTGTTTAAAACTTTGAGCCTTTAATATCTTTGGTTATTTTATATAATTAAATCTATTTAAATCAGCCATGATTATTTTCACTTTGATTTGTTACTCAAAGAGAGTTTCTAGTTTGACCAAGTGTAAAAATTAAATAAGAAAATGTTAAATTGTAGTTGACTTCTAATTTCACCCTTGATGTGATGGATAAAAGTAAGATGCACTCCGTAATTTATAGTTAATTAGATAAAAAGTATGATGCGATAGGTAGAGTATGAAAAACTAAGGGTAAAAGTGATTTCTTATTAGAAAGTGAAAGTAGTTTGTTGGAAGTGAAAAATGAAAGAGGAAGTGTTTTTTTAGAACGGATGGAGTACTAATATAAAAATAATGTTATTAGTTTTATTTAATAAAATATTTTCAAAATAGAAGTTAATCTAATTAAATATTAAAAATGATTAGGTATAAAAAAATTTGAATAAATATATAAAGTGGGAGGTGGTAGCTAGAAAGAAGAGCACCAGCATATGTGAACACCCTAACTAACGGAGTGCGTGCGTAAATGTTAGGTGTATGGGCGGCGTAATTAGTTACTGCACACAGTTGACTGCATGCACCAGCTTCTTTTTTTTTTGGCTTATTTGGAGGATTATTTATTTTGGCTTTGAGTGGTAACTCGTTACTGTCGTTAGTTTATCAAAACTCAATAGTGGTTCCACTTCGGATCGGATC